CTAAAATGATAGCAGTAGAAGTGAAAACTCAAATAGAAGAAAATAAAAAAGAAAGGAAGGCAGTGAAGCAGACTCAGATAAACAAATGGGGAGATCAAGAAAACAATGGAAACCATGAACACCAAACATAAACTAGAAAGAGAATTCATGAAATAGATCCAAACAGAAATACAGGAGATTAGAAACTCCATTTCAAGTATACACAGCAGACTGAATGAAGTCAAAGATAAAATGTCAGATCTAGAAGACAGGGACACAGCTATAAACCATGAAAAGAAAGTTACATTATAAAACAGCAAAGGATAACAAAAAAAAATCAATCCAAAAGTGACAGAATGAAGCAAAGAAAAACAACAAAAGATTTATTGGGATCCACAAGAAAGTAAGAGAGTACAAAAACCTCTTCATAGAAATAGTGGCAGAGTTACATATGTTTTGTGTACAAAGTATATTAAAGAATCCTGTCTTCTAATCCACTCTGCCTGTGTTTATTTTCATTGGGGAATTGAGGTCATGTACATTAATGATTATGGCCAACGTGCAATGGCTCACGTCTGCCATGCTATTGGTTCCCAGTTTTCGATTCCCTTCACTTGTCTGCCTCACTTGGTGACCTTGCTCTGCCACTGTTCCTGGAACCATGGCCTTTTTTTCTCTCTCTCTCTCTAGAATGTCCTTTAGTATTCTCTGTAGAGTTGATTGATGGTCTTGAATTTCCCCAGTTCCTCTTTGTCATGGAAGCATCTTGTTTCTCTCTAATTTTGAGAGACACTTTTTCAGGGTACATCAATCTGGGCTGGAAGTTATTTTCTTTCAGGGCTTGGAATACTTCACTCCAAGCTCTTCTTGATTTGATGGTTTGTGTTGAGAAATCTGTCATGATTCTGATGAGCTTTCCTTTATAGGTGTTCTATTTTGTTTCTCTCACAGCTTTTAATATTCTGTTCTTGTGTTGAATTTCTGGGATCTGGATTGTTAAATGTCTGGGTATAGATTTATTTTGGTTATGGCTAGCTGGAGTTCTATATGTCTCAGTTACCTGTTTGCCAGATCCTTTTTCCATGCTTGGGAAGTTTTCTGCTATTACTTATGCAAGTAGACTTTGAATGTCATTTGTATTGACCCATGATTTATCATTGACATCTATTGTTATTAAATTATTTTTCTTTGATGCAGCCATTGAATTATTTCCTGCTTTTTTGTTGTTTTTAGGATATCTTTCCTTTCATAACTAAAAGCTGCAAATCTGTCTTCAAGGTCTGAAAGAAAACTCATAGACTGAAAGTCAAAGGAGAGAAAACAATGCTCTAGGTGACAGGGAACCATAAAAACGTGGGGGTAGCTTGCCTATTAACTTCAGAATGGAGTTCTTTTATGCAATGGAAAGCTACTCAACTGTAAAGAAAGATAACTTTGAGGCTCTTGTGGGTAAGTGGATACAACTTGAGATCATGCTCCTGGATGAAATGGTTCAGATTCACATGGGTCAATATTGTGTTGTCTTCCTAGTATAAAAACTAAAGGAGTTAGTAGGATCCAACATGCACATTTTGAACCTCCTTATATGAAAGTGAAAGAGGAAGAAATGTCTACAAAGGGAAGGCAGTGGCCATTGTTAATTTATTATCATGTTTTGAAACATATTGTTTTCTTTGTTCTGTTTAGTTTAGTTTAGTTTTGCTTGATTTTATTATATTTGATGGCCTGGACAGCTATTTCAAAGATAACAAAATATATATGGTAGCCACTGGTGATTTCCTATTATCTTGTTTTGAAGCCCTGTACTGTTTTCATTGTTTTTCTTTGATTGATTTTATTCTATTTTGTTTTGTTTGATTGTATTATGTCTGATGGTATAGGCAGATATTTTGAAGATAACAAGAGGCCTTTTTTGATAGTGACTGTTGTTTTCCTATTATGTGTTTTGAAGTTTGTATTGATTTCACTGTTTAGTTTTGATTGGCCTTATTCTGTCCTGTTTCATTTGATTTTACTATTCCTGATGATATGGGCAGTTATTTTGAAGATAAGAAGAAACATGGTAGCAATTATTGATTTTCTTTCATCTTGTTTTGAAATCTATACCACATTCATTGCTTTGCTTTCATTGACTCTATTCTATTTTATTTCATTTGGTCTTATTTTCTTAAAAATAAAAAAGTTAAAAGAAAAATAAAAAATGTCAGAAAACTTCCCAAACATGGATAAAGAATTTGACAAATTAATAAAGCATATATAATTTTGAATAGCCATAACAAAAATAAATCTACACAAAGGCACATAATAATCAAGATTCCAGAAATTCAGGACAAAAGCAAACTATTAAAAGCAGTAAGGGGGGGGGGGATGGCGGCTTGCTAGGAAGCTGGATAGAGAACCTCTGCAGAGAAATCAGCTCAGATGCTAGAACTGGACAACATGGAGAGGGCTAGGTGATTGAATAATGATTTTTATTAACCAAGGCAGTAACCAAAGGGAAAAATAAAACTAGGAAGAGGAAGGAAAAGCGCAGGTGGAGGACTGAAACCCGACACACTAACCGCGACCTGTTCCATGCTGTACTAGGCACACCTGGAGGATCCAAGGTCGTGCTGAGACCATGGCTGCTGATAATGGGAGTCGGTGAATCCCAGGCCCTTAACCGGAGGACGCAGTGCAGTGAGAAGTGGATGCAAGGGGAGGAGCTTTATTGGCTCTTGGTGAGTGCTGGAAATTGGGGCCTGGGGCCCTGTGAGGCAACCAGAGCCACCTGCCTGCACTGGAGGAGACCTCAAGAGGACCATACACCTGGGCACTGAAGCCAGGCACTGCGCAGTTTTCTGACCAATCCATGCTGTGCTGGGAGCACAGTGAAGACACGCAGCACAGTGTGAAGTGGACCCAAGAGGAAGATCTGCATTGTTTCCCAGTGAGTGCTAGGGATTGGGTCCTGTGGCTGCTGTCACTGGCTGAAGGACATCTTGGAGTTGGGCAGAGCCTGGCACCGCAGTGATGTCAGTCACCTGCCCCTGGCACAGAGAAAACTGGCAGGATCTGTGAGGGCTGAGTTATGCCCCTGGTTGGGACTCAATAAGCAAGTACAAAATTGTCGCGACTCTGTGACATCCAAAAGGTACAGCTTAACTTGCGGATTGACTGGCTCAGAGGCTCAAGGCTAGCCTGCAATGTCTCGGCATCCCTGCATGTACCTCAGATGACAGCAAATTGGGGAGGGTGGCAAAACCCCAGTCAGCAAGCTTCGGAAAGACCCTAAGCAATATGGAGAGAGCCACAGACCCTCTTAACACACTTGTCTGAAAGAAACCAGAAACATGACAAGATAGAAATTTAAAAAAAAAAAAAAAAAAAAACTCCAGCTGCTGACCCTGGAAAAATAAGTGCAGGAGAGATAAATACAGAAGAGAACCAGTGCAGTAACCATCCAATACTAGACACAGCATCAGCAGACATAAAGAAATACCTTCATGACCTCAGAGATTAATTTAAAACTGTACTTCTGATCCAAGTGAGGCAAGATATAAAATTATTAATTAAAGAAATGGTAAGTCCCTCCCAAGAGAACACAGATGGAAGAACAGAGGAACTCAGAAAAGAATGAGAAACCTTTGATGAAGAGTTTAAACATAACCTAGAATACATGAAACAGATCCAAAGAGATTACTAGGAAACTAAAAACTCCACTGAAAGCTGGCAAAATGCCTTGACAGAAACTAAATTTAACCTTTTGAAACTTGAAGAGAGATTTATGATATATGATTGTGAAAGAAAAGATCTCTTAAAAATAATGAGGAACCAGGTAGAAACAATTCAAAGGCTAGAAGACGACAAAAGGATCTATAACTTAAGAATAAAAAATGTAAGCAAAGAAGCAGGAGTAACCAAAAATGAACTACAAAGAATATTCACAGATATAGTTAAGGAAAACTTCCCAAGCATAGGAAAAAGAAATGATATCCAGATAAAAGAGGCATACAGAACTCCAGCCACCTACAACCAAAACAGATCTACACCCAGACATATAATAATCAAGATTCCAGAAATCCACCACAAGAACAGAATATAAAGCAGCCAGGGAAAAGAAGCAGATTATCTACAATGGAAAAATTATCAAAATAACAACAGATTTATCAACACATTCTCTCAAATCAAGAAGAGCCTGGGGGGAAATAGTCCCAAGCCTTGAAAGGAAATAATCTGCAACCAAGACTGATGTACCCAAAAAACTCTCTCAAAATTCATGGAGAAATAAGATGTTTCCAAGACAAGGAGGAACTGTAGGAGTTCATGGCCATCAACCCAACCCTAAAAAAAAATACTGAAGGACATTCCAGAGAGAGAGGAAAAAATACCAAGATTCCAGCAACAGTGGCAGGGAGCCCTCAATGAACAGAGCAGACAGTGAATGAAGGAGTAAAGTGGACAAATTATAGCAGAAAAATAGAATAGCAGACATGAGGCAGAGATGGTAAGCTATTATCTTTAATATAGATAGCCCTGATATACTAAAATAAAAAAGAAACAAGCAGAGTAAATTAAGAGGCAGGTTCCATCAAGATGCTCTGAATAGGAAATACACTCAACCAGAAAGAAAGTTAATAAACTGAAAGTCAAAGATGAAAAAACAATGCTATATGTGACAGGAAACCAGAGAGAAATAGGGACAACTCATCCAGCAGCTGCAGATAGATTGGAAAGCTATGACACTTTTGGGCAGTGCAGAACTACACAGCTGGAAGGAAGGAAAACCCTATGACTTTAGTGAGTAAAGGAGTATAACTCAAGATCAAGTTCAGGGGTAGAAAGGTTCAGCAACACTCAAGATAAGACAATGGGCTGGCCCCCTAATCTAAAAACTAAAGGAGCTAAAACATACAAAACAGGAGCTAAAACATGCAAAACGTACAAAGCATCCTGAGAAGGGGAAAGATGAAAAATAGCCTAAAAAAGGAAGGCAGAGGACATTGTTAATAGTGTATCAGGATTTAAAAATCACAGTAGTCTTATCTCTCTGTTTAGTTTGATTTTATTTTGTTTTGGTCTGTCCACTCATATCAGATTTGAGGGCACAGAGATCTAACCCAAAAATAGCAGGTTATACCATGGTAACTATCCTTAATTTTCTATTAACATAAACTGAAACTCTGTATTACATTGTCTTACTATGACTGATCTTATTTGAATCTGATTTGTTAGACCGCGGTTTTGCCTTGGCTAATTTTATTTGAATTTTGTATGCTTGACAGTATCAAATCTAAGAGTAGTGGCAACTACTCTGAAGATGACAAGATGTAAAAGATATCCATACCGGTTTTGATTATTAACCGCTTTCAAGTCCTACAATGTCTTTAAAGTTGTGTTTTTATAAAAATAGCTATGTAATACTATGCTTAACTGTATTAAGCATGATGATGTGGACAAGTCTATTGAAAATAACAAGAGAAAGCATAGTAACTATGGTAGATCACCTAATATTGTGGTCCTATGTGTCTTTTTCATTGCATGTTTTCCTAGGAATTTGTTTTGTTGTCTTGTTATGATCTGTTTTCCCCTATAATACAGAGAGGATAGATATACATGTAGAAATTCACACATTGAAAGAATTCTTTAAACTACTTATGTGAATAGATTATATAATACACGAGGTAATGAACAGATACTCTGAAGAAGAGACACTAAGAAACCCAACGCTAATTCTGTAGCATTATAATATAAAATCTAGCAATACTATTATTCACTGTTCAGAGTGATATTAGTCTAGTCTCTTAAGTTCAATTTCAGCATAAGTAAAGATAAAGACAGCTACTACGAAGAGAATATGAGACATTATGGTAGTCATTATTGACTTCCCCAGTGTCAGGTCTTGAAGACCGAAAAAGCCTTCATCATCCTGTAATGATTTGATTATATGCAGTATGTATAATATGCAGTATGTATTCAATGTGTGTGAAGATGGGGACAACTATTTGGAAGAAAACTAGAGACAGTAAGATAGATAGTGAAGATCTCCAGTGGACTTGCTTTGAAATCCATATTTCTTTAACTTGTTTCTTTATGAGCTGTTTTGTTCTGTTTTGGTATGTTTAATCCTATCCTCTTTAAGATAAAAAACAAGTGTGTAGGACTGATAACCATATTACTAAGTTTTTGTTGGATCATTGAGCAAAACTGTTGGCAGTGTCACTATTTGAATGTCACTCTGTATGCTTTAATTTTGTAACCTGAACTACTAACTGGTCAATTTCTACTGCAATAAGTTAAATGGTTATAAAAGGAACACATCTGAGTCACAATGACAAGGGTGTCCGTAGGAGAGACATCATTAAGAACATGAACAGCACTGGAAAGACCACCACACCAGGAAGGAAAGCACAGTTTTCTATGAGCTGAAGTTCTCCAATTCACTTGACTGTTATAAACGCTTAGTAAAAGTTGCTAAAAGGTTTAGTACAAACTTCATCCTAAACTTTATGTCTATATCTTATTTTCTTGTGTACTTTGCCTCAAAAATTTCTATAAGACTATACCTTACTGTAGACTCTAAAAGACTATAAATTACTATAAAGATTTCCACAAAACTCCTAATTTTGCTGCAAACTTTGTTATTTCATTTTGATTTTAAGAAACACTTATGAGTACCTGATGAACGGTGTCTGAGGTTAAAACAGTGACTGTCACATAGTCCTTGTCCCAGGGGCGTTCTGTTTACTGAGACCTTGTCCCTGTGAGTGGGTGTGTATCATACTGTCATGGGAGGCTTACCTTGGAACTGAAAATTATTCAGGCACCTTCATAAAGTTCAATTTTGGGGAAAATATGCATACTTTAAGTATATGACAAAGGCTAGAAAATGTTGCTTAGTTCCAATACCTATAAATAATTTTAAATGGAGAGAGCTATTAAAATGGCTATAATTTTTGGATAGTTTTAAATGAGACAGCTAAAAGAAAACACCATATCTCTAAAACACAGATGTGGCCATTTCTGGAATGGATTTATGGTCTTCTTGTGACTCTAAGCCACTGTACCCAGTTGTTTGCTGATTCAGAAGTCCACTGCTCCAAGCAATGAGAACCAGGAATTATGCCTCCCCAGGGTCAGGTGTCCTGCCCAGTTGACCTGCCATGGAAACAAATAGCATTAGTAGGATTTTTCTATGGAATTTTAAAAGCAGTTTGAGGGCAGAAAAAAAGAAATCTATTAAGTAGTTAAAATACTGACTAATAAAATGGAATTTTCTACAAAAAATCTTAAATCAGACATTACTGTAGTTCCTCTCATACTGTGAATTAGTTGCAACTGCCTCCTGGACACAGTTTCATGAAGAACGACTCCACCCATGAACATATGCAAAGACTTGAGAGCCACACGTGTCCGTGATTTACTAGAGTCATGGAATCTAGCTAAATAACTGCACAACAGAATAGAGACAACTGATTTTTAGATAATGGAGGGTAGGTCTGAACAATAAACAAAAATCATGTCATTGTAAAGTATTTACATAATCACAAAAAATGAATAAAATCTCTGTTTGCCCTTTGAGATAGGAATGCTCATCCTGGTATGTTTATCTTGTAGTAAAATGTCAAAATTGTGGATTTATTTCCATTGCCATACATTGATACTTAACCTGAAAGAGAATCTTCTGTACAAAGTAGTCACTTGTCTTGAAATATGCAAGACTTAGGTTTGGTTACTCAAAAAGTCAAGTATAATCCAGAGGTTTCATTTTGCCATTCCTTCTATTATACCTACTCAGCATTTATATGCTACATTACCTCCTGATAAAGAGACCGCAAACCTGTGTTAATGATTTATAAAGTCATGTGAAATGAATAGGTAGAAAATGAACTCTGAGAAAATTATGAGATTTTTAAAATATATTGCATAGTGTTACCTTAAAAGAAGTTGTTCATATTACAGCATTTAGGCATGATGAAAATGATCAAGCAATGCAAACATAAACTGTTCTTTTTGAGGAACTAACAGAAGTTAATAGTACAGCTATCTATCATATATATTTATACACACACACACACACCTCTGATCCTCCCAAGAACCTCATTTAGTAGGGCATAAGAATATGTCTTTACCTTATGTTAGGCATCAGTTCATTGATTCATTAAAATATTTATTGAACAGTGGACCTATGCGTGAGTCCATCCCATGAACTGAGTGTTTGTTAAGGCCTGGATGGATGAGAAATTCAGTGCTTACTCTTTATTTAAAACCTACTCTGTCTGCCACAGGGGCTTACAGTAAACTAAATGTAAAATGAACTTTATAATGATCAGTAAGAGACTCCCTTTGTAAGAACAGAAGCAATGAAATAGTACATAGACTTGGCGGTTAAACGATGGTGTCAGTTCCTGAGATCCTGCAGTATGTTGAATACGGACATCGCTATTGTTGTTTGTGCTTGTATGTGAAGGCAGTGTTGAGAACTATCTTGGAATAACCCAGTAAACTTTCATCATGAATATGACATTGATGTAGCAATGAACTGAGTTACTAAACGTAGAAACAAGTCTTGGATCTTATTTTGGAATTTTAAAAGGCTGAATATACTCTTGAAGGTTAAGATAAATATGATTATGAAGGGATAGTTCTTAAATTTTTCAAAAATGGGCAAAATATGTATTTAATTATGCTTAAAATAAAGGAAAATAAATATTTCCCAGTTCAACATATACTCTCTTTTTACATAAGATAGCAGCTTTTTTATAAAATGGTTTATTTTGTACCAAATATAAAGGAATATGGTCCAAGAACATGGATTCAGATTGCTCTGAATGACATATTCCAGTGTGGAAGAGGTTGTATGAAATGTTATAGCCATAGAACAAATCAAGTAAAGCAATGTAGCCATAAAATACATTAACTAGGGGCATTAGGTAAGTAGGACACAACAGCGCATATCTGTCTTCTTTAGGTTTCAGATGTTAACTTACGGAATATTTAACCTGTAAAACTAGTGGAAGCTAGAGGTCTCCAAGAGTTTTATGTAGTACTCATGAGGATGTTAGGGTAGACACAGAGGTTGATGCTAAATGGTTGTAAGAGGGACTGAAGGTCGCCCAAGGTCTTGATCTGTAGCAATGCATCTTTCCCACAGTCACCATGTTCTTCCCAGCCAAAGACAGTCTGCTGCCCCTCCAGTACAGGTGTGGCATGATCAGAAAGCTTCAGTTCACACTCAAGAGCAAAGCATTCTTGATGCTTTCCTTACTGTTTGCCACAGCTTCATTTCTCATTTCATCTCCATCTTCTGACTACCTTGTTGATAAAAATGACACAAACAAATACAGCCCAATACATCCTGGCTGTGTGGTGTCAGTGGATCCCCGCAGGAGAGCTTCACAAAGTTGAGATGCTATACCACGTAGAATGTCGGCTCCCTTTATTGAACAAGATGGTTAATAAAAGTTTATTTTGTCTACTAGACTCATGAGTACTAGAATTCCACTTAAGAATCTTTACTTTCCCTCAGCAGTATTGTTTTGCAAGTTGTCAGAGCCTCAAGGAGGATGCACACTGATGTAAATTCCTAATGCCATGTTTATGTCCACAGCAGGGCTGCTAATGAGGCAAACGCTCCAACCAGAGCAGCCCCGCTGCCAGGGAAATATTCTACATTCCAGTTCCTCTCACTGGGATAGAGCATAATTTTGATCATAAAGTACAGAGCTAACAAAAGAATTATGTCTTTTAATAAACTTAGAAGTGAGAGTGTATGAGGCTTATTCACAATCTGCCACGGTCATTACGTCTTACATTCATTTACATTCCATGCTCTCATTCCTGTACGTCCACCTTCTTCATGATTTTGTTCCCATTGTTCCTAGGAGAGTAGATCCAATCCCCACACAAACACCCTCCTGTCCCCCATAGAATTCAGGAGAATTGTCTTTGCACTTGACTCTGAAACCATGAAAGATGCTTTTAATTGTGGCTTTCCATCTCAAAATCACTATTCTATAGATATAAAGTTATAGTTTAGAAAACTATGACTATTACAGCAAGTACATCATCGTTAACTGAACAAAGACAAGTAATTTCTAAATCAATTTTAACAGCAAAATCTTGAGGTACCACAAATCCACACCCTTATGCTCATGGATCACGATGTCACCTGGACATGTGGGAATAAGGTGACAACCAGTGTTGAAGTGTATAGTTGGGAAATGATCTATAATCTTCTGAAAGATATCTCCAGTGTTAACAGCTAGACACTTGGAGATAAACAATAAAAGTTTCACCATAGAGGAGATGGTTCTTTCATTTTGTATAAGGGGAGAGGACAAACAGAGGTCATAGGACAAGCATCAGATCCAGAGTGACTCCACTTTGAAATGACTGGCTGTGAAAACGGCAGCCTTGCACCAATTCAGAGGCTCACTGGTATTCTAGTCATGAGATTCTCTTCACGAGCTCTGGAGCCACACTTTAATCACTAACAGGAGCCTGAATGGCCTTTCTCCTTTCAGTGTGGGTGAAGACAGATACTTTTCTTTTTACTCATTTCTGCACATAAAATATTCAAAATTTCCTAGAGGATGGAAGATAATAACAGGAAGACTAGACACAGCTTTTTCCAAGTGACTTCTTACAGTTGTTTTTCAAATCCTGGCACGAACTGAAATCTTATAATAAGTTTCTCTGGATTTCGAACTGGCCTAGATTTTTCCAGTATTTTTGGAATGTGTTTGCTTCACAAATACTAAGGGAAGAGAAGATTAAATGCAGCAATAAGTAACCTTCGTGATTTATGTATAGATAGTTGGGCCCTCTGAATTCCAAAACTATGGATTAAGTAACAATTGATTGAAAATATTTAGAAAGTAAAGCATTGATACTGAACATGAACAGATATTTCTCTTGTTATTATTCCATAAAAATACAGGAAAATGGTTATTTAGAGAGCACTTGCATTGTATTAGGTATTATGAGTAATCTAGAGATTATTTAAAATATACGGGAGAATGTGTACAGGTATATGTAACTGTCATGCTATTTTAGATAAAAGACTTGAGTGTCTAAGGATTCTATTATCTGAGGGGAATCTTGGAACCAATACTCCATGGGTCTTCAGGGAGAGCTATATTTACCACAATAAGTGGATATGAACATTAACTGGATGTGAATGTTTCAACTGGTCATTTCTAAAAGTCCCCAAAATGGAAAGTAAGACATATTTCGTGTACAAGAATCCATAAAATGTCTTTGCACAAAATTTTGCAAGTAGATTCGATGTCTTTTACTCAATCATGACATATTTATTGGTTCATCATCTTCCCTTTGTTTGTTGATTTTGGAACTTTCAGCTGCCCACTTTGCAGGATGGCGCCCTAAAATCTACTCTCTACAAAATACCCAAAGTAAATTTTTAAGCATGTGCTGGGTCATGTCGTTATTTTCTTATGTCATTTAGTAAATTGTATGACAAAGAAAATTTAAAATTCATAGCATGATATGCCAAGGTCTTCTAGTAAATAAAATAGCAAACATTACCTAAGTGTTATAAGCAGAGTGACGGGTAAGAATGATGGAGGAAGAGGAGCAGACCAAGGCAAACAAGGACAATGAACAGACGAGGCCTGACAGGAGGCTGACAAGAGCTGACATGGTGGCCTGGTAGTTGAGACCCAGAGGGACACATTAGGAGTCAGCATTAGTAAACCCATGCACGCAGTGAAAATTTCAAAATACAGAAAAACATTTTGCATGCTGCTTTCAGTTGTAGCAGGGAACACTAGGGTAGAAGCTTGATGGGCATTGCACAGAGGAGGGGAGAAGTAGAAAAGGACAACAGGAAGAGGTGAGGGGGTGTGGAAACTATTCATCAATGAACAACAAGGGAGCACTTAGTACATGTAAGGCACTCTTCCCAACATTTCAAACACACAGCCTTCCAAGGCAGCCACCACTACCAGTCTGTTGTAAATGAGAAAAATGGGCATGCAGATAACCAAACTTGTCCAATCAACTTGTTTGTAATTGGCAGAACTGAGATTCAAACTCAGTTTTCTGGCTCCATAGACTACATTATTAATCACTCTGCAGAAGTCTCCAGGTTGGAGAAATTCAGCCATATACTTAAGGATCAGCAGAGACGACTGTAAAAGAGACGTGGATAGAGTGTGGGACATGCCCAGCATCAGTGGCTAAGAAGTTCTAGAACTCAGAACGATGCACAAGTTCAAATCCTTGCTGCTACACTATTCTTCTGCGCAGAACCAGAGTTTTGAAGAAGACAACACCTGTGAACCTTGTTTATAATCTTTGAATGCTGCAGATATTAAAGACTATATTCAAACTGCATAAGAAAGAAGATCAGCAATGAACTGGCGGAAAAATTTTACTGTGAGTTTTTAGTACCCTTCCCTAGGGTACTGTCTGCTGATCTGTTTAGTAAGCAAATCAGAATAGCCAGCCAATGAATGATTTGATTATGTCTAATGTTTACATAAGCAGAGACAAAGATATGTGCTTAGTCTTATGGTGGCAAACTTTATGAAACAAAGTTTACCACCTTACTCAGTTTTGAGTGTGCAGCTGAGTGGCGCTAAGCATATCTGTACTGCTGTAAACCACCACCAGAATCCACTGAAAGCTTTTCAACTTCCTCTACTGCCTCTATCCATGTAACATTAATTCCTCATTCCTCTCACCACCAGCAATCTCCATTCTGCTATCTCTGTGAATCTGGGTTTTTAAAATTTTCATCAGATGCTTCGTGAAATTTGCAAAGAGAAAGATGCTTCCACCCAATATAAAAGTAAAAATAAACATAACCTTAAAACTAAAAATACTCTATGGATTTTTCTGGGTGTTCTTTCTCACTGCCATAACTTCCCTCAGGCAGTGACTGTGCTTAAAGACACTGTGTCAATACTGAAGTCTCCATACACTAAGGAATGGGGAGTTAAGGGGAGCTTTAATATGGCTTTCATATGAAAATCTTTTTGGTTCTTTAACTCAAAGATGTCCCTAAATCTTAGAAATGTTTGAACTGCTACAAGTGCCACAAAATCAAGACTTGATTCAATGGAAGAAGCCTGCTTTTCTCTACAGCACCTCAGTGGAAACAAATCTGTGTCAGTTGAAAAGCAGGGCCAGGTGGATGTTGAAGGTTTGTATGTACAAAATATACATACTTGATTATGAAATATGCTTAAGCAAAACTGAGAACACAGAATTCAGAGTAAGTCAGATGTGAGTTCAAATTTAGCTCTGAGTGTACAAGGCCCAGTGAATTCACACCTTTGAGTCTATTGCTTTATCTGAAAAATAGAACTAAAGTATGATTTCACAGGTCTGTGTGAGAACTATATAAAATAGTCCATGAGAATTCGCTGGTATCTGTCAGACACACTATAAATGTCATTTTTCTTCTGGTTTATTTTCTATTATAACACATTGTTACACATCTTGATTTGTTCCCTGAGGTTACATAGATACACTCCAATATAAGATAGTATCTTGCAGTATAATTATTTTTACAATATTAACTGAATTCAAACCAATATCTTTTCCTTTTTATTCTGAGATTTCATGACGCAAGTATGCATACATGTGTGTAGATATGTGTAATTTTAACCTATATTAAGAATGAATCAGTAGTGACCCCGGTTGTCTAAACAGCTTTAGAGCATAGCAAGCATTTCTCATACTGAAAGTGGTGATGCTTCAAAAGGAGAATGTCAAAGAGATTTGCTGAACTCTCTTTTTAGTTCATTTACTGTTGTATAACAGAACATCTGAAACTTTATTTTATTTTCTTTTAAAGAAAAAAAAAACACAAAAATGAAAAAACAAAAACAACAGCAAAAGCAAAATGATACAAATAACAAATAGCAATATAGAATTTCAAAACAAGATGATAGAAATTTAACAATGGTTGTTATATTCAATATTGTTATCTTCAAAATAGTTACTCAGGTTACTAGCTATGGGCACGCAAGACTGATCCTTTGAGCAGTTTCTTTTCTTTTTACTATTTTTCTTCTGGGTCTCATTTACTCTTTCAGTTTCTTACACTGCCAAGTCAATATGCTGTTTACACATGTGAGTCTGATTTATTTCACTTATGAGTATGGTTTTTAGTTGGATCTATTTGCCTGTAAAAGCCTCTAGGTTATCTTTTTTAAAACTGTGAAAACTTCATTATATAAAAATATCACATATTTTTTATCCATTCCTCAGTTGATTGGTATTTGGATTGCTTCTGAGATCTGGGGTTGTTACAAATTGGGCAGCTATAAACATGCACACCCAGATATCACTGTGGTATAATGTTTTCAATTCTGGGAAAATACCCAGAAGGAGAAGAGCTGGGTCAAATAGAACCTCTAATCCTAGTTTTTAAAGGAATCTCCACACTGATTTTCATAGTGGTTGTATCAGTGTACACTCCTATGAACAAAGAGAAATGTTCCCTTTTTCCCCCTGTCTCACCAGCATTTGTTATTGGTTGATTTCTTGATGTTAGCCATTCCTTCTGGAGTGAAATGATATCCCAATGTTGTTTTAATTTGAATCTCTCAAACAACCAATGATGTTGAACATTGTATAATATATTTATTTGGCATTTGTATTTCTTTATCAGAAAACTGTGTATTCATCTCAGATGCCCATTTATGGACTGGGTCTCTGAATCTGAGAGCTCTTTTTTCAGTTCTTTGTATGTTCTAGATAGAAGCCCTTTGTCTGAGGGACAGTTGGTAAAAATCTTTTCCCAATCGTGGGTTAGCTTTTCACTCTCGGTGATTTCTTTTGATGTGCAAAAACTTTTTAATGAAATGAAACCCAAGTTGTTGATTCTTTGAAGTACTTCCCGTGCAGTTTGGATTTTATTTATGAATTTTGCCTATCCCAAGCAAACTTAGCAGCGTGGCTGGGTACAAAATTGACACTCAAAGTCAATGGCATTCCTGTATACAAACAAAAAACTTGCTGAGAGAAATTAGGGGAAACATATCCTTCACAATTGCATCCAAAAAAAAAAAAGACTTAGAAATTATTCTAACAAAGTATGCAAAAATTTATACATTGAAAATTACAGTACTCAAAAAAATCAGAAGAATTCAGAAAATGGAAAGATCTCCTTTGCGCATAGATATAACAAGAACCAGCATTTAAAAATGGCCATATTCCCAGAACTGTTACAGATTTAATGCAATGCCTATCAAAACACCATTAGCATATCTTAAATATCTAGAAAAAACATTCTGAAAATTCACCTAGAGACAGAAGAGACGTAAAAAATAGCAAAGGAAGTTCTTGGTAAACGAAGCAAGGCAAGATGCCACATAATTCTGACCTGAAATTACACTACAAACCTGCTATAATAAAACCAGCATGGTACTGGCAAAAACAAAGCAAAACAGAACAAAATAACAACAACAACAAAAACCCCAGACCTGAGGATGAGTGGAACAGAATAGAAGACACGGACACAACTATAAACACACTCAGCCACCTTACCTTTGGCAAAGGGGCCAAACATGCTCCCTGGAGGAAAGACAGCCTCCTTAATAAGTGGTGCTGGAAAAACCAGCTTTTCACATGCCGAACACTTAAACTAGAGCCAGGCCTAATACAATGCACTAAACAAGTCAAAGTGGATCAAAGATCTAAATATTAAGACAGAAATGCTTAATCTACTGGAAGACAAAGTAGGTGCAAACTAGATAGTTTGGAAGAAAAGCAGCTTATTTACCTCCCAGTTCTGGTGGTTGGAAGCTCAAGGGAATAGTTGGTAAAGCAGCCACATTTGCTCAGCCTCCCCACGGGATGGGGTGCTCACGTTATTCCATAAACAGTAGCAAAACGGGAGGGCAAGCAGGCTGTGGGAAGAGACACAAATGAAGGGTAACCATGCTCTACAACAAGCATCCCTGAGAACGACTTCAGGGTCCCTAGGAAGGGACAGTTCGCTCACTCCTGGGAGATGGCACCCATCTACTCCTGAAGGTTCTGACCTTACAGTCCCGACACACCTGCCATCTTTCACAGGGCCACACTGAGGAACTGAAGCACAGCATGAGTTCTGGTGGGGACAAGCCACATGCAAAGCACTGCAGCTCTTCAATCAGGCCAGTCTCTGGGATGGCTGCCCTGGCCAAATCTGCAAAAACTCTTACTAAAAAATGGAAATTCTTGTATTATCCTGTATCACATTAAAAAAACTTAATATTTCAAGAAATAAACTAAAGAGCTTAAGGAACTGCAAAGAAGGCTCAACTGTATTCTTACTTCTATTTGGTTTGCATGTGACATGTTAATGAATTTATAGTTAATTTAACCAAATCGCAATCCCTGAGCAACCAGATGGAGGCTCTCACATGCTAAAACACTGCTAAAATCACCATTCTCCCATGGATTCTAAAATCGTGTTTGAATGCCTAAGATTTCTGAGTGCCCTGCCTTAATTAGAACAAAGTAGTTAAAACTCTGGTAATGGAGCCAACACTTGTGTTTTGGCAAAAATCCACATTGGGATGAAAATGGCTCTAAGCGAAGAACAAACAACAAAACAAAATTATTTCAGTTTGACACAACAGTCCAACACTTACTTCTTGTGTGGTTCTCATTTCCATAAACCAATCAAGTTCATAGATGGCGGAAGTGCAGTAAAACTGGCCTTGGGACCCGCATCAGCCCAGGTCTGCCATTGGCAGCTGCATGCACTGGAAGTACCCACCACCCAGGTCCCTCTGCTCTGATTTCCCTTCCCGTCTCTTCACTTCCCAAATCTTCCTTTTCTTCTTGTCATACAGCTTGACTTTCCTGCTCCTAGGAAGCCATCTTTTCATTACTTTTTCTGAAGAAAGTCAGCTAATGATGGAGAGATTTACCAGTGTTCTTTCACACGGTACTCGCCACTCTCCCAGCCATTCCTGCTTTCTGTCTACCAGCTATAAGCAGAAGTAGGGGCAAAAAAGATGGATGCTGAGCATCACGCCTGGGTGCCCTGTCTTCATGTAAACCTCGCACAGTGTCACAGCTTGCCTTTTAGTAGCATCCAGCTTTTGTTTTTTAAAAAAAAATTATACCCCAGATTCTTCCAGACCTCACTTGTTTATTTGGACTGAGAATCAAGATTTAGTTTTCATTTTATTATTAATTATCTATGTAAATGTGTGCATTCTCTTAAACCCTGAGTTTCAACACTTGCAAAATAAGTAAAACAGGATAGATCTGGGTTTTTTCATCACCTAGTTCTACAATTTCTTTATCCTTTAATATCCACGGTGGACCTAACAGCATTAAATATCACATAATTATCACACTGCAGCCAAAGCAACCTCCCAGTACCGCTGCTGGCTGCCCCCACCAGGTAATGCTGTAAGAACTTCTTCATCTGCATTGCAGAGAACTCATTGTCACTGAGCTCCCCTAGGACCACTGCACTGTGAACACAGCGAGGAAGGGCCTGGCTTTCCTGAAGGTCCTGAAACGCAAGCTAAAATCTCACACTGTGCTATTCACTGAATACTTTGATCCTTATAAGACCCATTCCCCAGCATCATGTGGGAAAGCTGTACCATCTTAAATCAATCACTGGTAATGACTTCTCTCCCTGGTCCCAAGTTCAAGTTCTCCATGGTAAATGAAAGGCTTTGTAAGTGCATCCCATTGCCTCTTCAAGTTCATAATTTAGTGCTGGGGATTTCACTGCTTTACCTCCCTAAACGCCATCTATCACTCATTAAAACGTAGGTCCCAAGAAATATCTAGGTCAAATCAGAAACAAATCAATGGTTCTCTAAAGTTTCAGTCCTCAGTAAAAATTCCTAATAAGCACACATTGTTTTAAAAATAGTAGATGGATCACTTTGAGTGCTGTACCAAATGCACACTTCTTATAGATCAGCGTTGCTTGGATTCATACATAAGAAATAGACTTGGTTTCCTGAACTCTGGTCTCTGATTTACTCTTTCCCAGTTCTCAGAGAAAGTTATTCAAAGCACTGTTGTAGTGCCTGAGGAGACTTACTGTGAGGACAGCGGGAGATGGCTGGCTGCTGGAATTTTCTATGAAAAAACAAGTCGATGTGGCTTGGCAAGAAAAGTCCGGAAAATGTGAGGCAGGGAAAGAGTGAGGAGGTAGCGTCCACACAAACGCTGTGAAAAGAAATAAAAATTACCGCCTTGCCAGGAAACTTCCAAACCAAATATGCAAACAACAGAGAATAAACCTGGCTTCCCACGGCTTTACATAAATCTGATAGTTTCATAACAACTGCCTCTTCCAAACCACTGACTATATTTAGCTGTGGGATCACCTGTGATCTTATTTGAGCCTCTATAGTATAATGTACGGTTTATATTCACAGATTCACTACAACTTTCTATATTTGCTGTAGAAATGAGATGTATTTAAGGAAACAAAACTTTGAGGACACAAATTTGAATAAAGCTCATATGACTAAGTCTCTATTTACAGCCAAACACTATTTGGAATGAGACAAGAGCAAAACAGGGTAGGAAAATGTAGAAATATCAGTAAACTTTTTTCCTGTAGTGATTTTTTTAAGCTTTAAATATCTATATTTATGTACTTTGGTGTGCTTTATGTAATTTAAAGGCTTTTCTAATGTTTTGACCACAGAAAATGTAACTGTTGTCTGGAGAATCCACAAATCAGAATCTACCCACTCTGGGATATTGGTTTCTTCCTATGTTCACAGGCTGAGCTCACCCAGTCCCTCATTAACGCAGCTCCTCATCTCTCCAGGACACCTGCTGGGTCACAAACTTCTCTGCTGTCTGAGGATGTGACAGGCTGCCTTTCCCTGCTCATCTCACAAAAGCCAAGGGAAGCCTGTGCCTCTGCTTTCTCCTGGAAGACTGCCACCCACCCTTCTTCCAGCCCCCTGGGGCCTCTGCTCACAGCTCAGTTACATTTCCCTAATGTTATAATCATCCATTTATGTTCCTGCCATCTCTCCTAGGACACACTCTTCTGAGTGCAGGTGCTATATCTTACTTTGCGAATAATTCAAAATACCAGAGGGACCAGAAGAACTTTGTATACTGATTCATAGCCATCATCTAATGACAGTGTTTTGCAACACAGTAAACATCCTTGATTTGAGAACTTCATTCAGTTCTCAACACGAGGTCTAGTTGAAGCCCGTTTTGAACATGCGCTGCCCGAGTGATTTTCTCAAATCATAAACCTCATGTCGATTGCTCATGGAACACCCTTTCTCTTCTTCTTCCATCCATATGCTATGGTCTGGATACGGTTTGATCATCCCCACAGCAACCCATGTTGAGATGTAATCTCCACTGGGAAGTGGTAATTGGTAGGACCAAGTTCCACCATATGGAGGTGACTGGTGATGAGAACTCTGCCCTCACGATACATCACTCCACCCATGGATTAGTGGATTGAGTTACTAAGGGAGCAACTTTATTATAAGAATGAGCTCTTCCTGGGACACCTCCTCTGTCGCATGTCTTAAACAGTCCTGAGACAGAATCCTGTAGATAGTCCTCATCAGCAAGAGGACCCTAATCAGGTACAGGCCCTTGCTCTGGGACTCCCTGGTCTCCAGAACTGTCAGAAACAATTTTTTCTTATGTACACTACCTGCTCACGTATTTTGTTACAGAAACAGAAAATGGACTCCGATGCCTTCCTAGAAACCCTGAAGCCCTCCCTGTACAGATGGAAAATGCACATTAGGGCAGGTTAGAGAGCTGTCCTCAGACACAGAAGAAAAGCTGGTTGCTATAACACAACCTCAACTATGTTGCACACCCCCAAAACTATTCTTTCTAGTGTTCTCGGGAATAGATGAAAATTCTTCTACTTGATTTATAAGTAGCTTCTAGGACTGGCCCCTTTTTATTCCTCTAATATGAAATTCCTAGTAGCTCCTGAGTCCCAAATATGGTCAGTAAACCCAAGTAATTTTCAATCCTGCTGTACCCTACGACTCCTTCTGCTCTGGTACTGAGTAAAGGTTTCTCCTGGGCCCAAATCTTTTTCTTCTTGTAAAGAAACTGAGAAAGTTCATTAACTTTTTAATTTCTTGACAATAGTGATCACAAACACAGTTCATTAAATGTTAGTTGAATACATGTCATGTAATAGACCCCTGGGGCACAGGAAGAGCCTACCCTTGCCCTCACATGCCCTGATGTGTGGTCTTGAGCCCTCATCACTCAAAAAAACTTGTGCTGTTGTGTTTCCTGCTTAAGGACAGTGGATGCTGAATTTCAGGTCATTCTGTTTGATGACTTTAACTCTACCAACTTCCTGCACTCACTGTCCCCTTCCAACTATTTAAGGTTTTTCTCAGACAGGGATCGAATATGATCCGACATGGTGCCTGAATCAGGTGACTTCGGTTCTCCTGGAATATGACAAAGGCTCTCTTTATGTCCTGGTAACGAGATCAACCTCTCTCTTTCCACCGTGAGGCAGTTAGACCTCTATACAAAGGGCAATAAAACCACTGCATACGATCACAGAAGAAAGAATTGAGAAAGTCCATGCTCATAGTTGTCAACCAGCCCACATGAATGTTCTTGATCATATCTACTCTTGGAAGCTAAGCAGGGTTGTTCCTGGTTAGTACTTGGATGGGAAATTTACACTTAAAACAATTTTTAAAAAAGTTACAGTTTACCAAAACTTCAATCCTGGCTTTATCTTCTGACAGAATACCTCTTAATATGATTTGTAGATTTCCTCCTAGTGCTTTGGAAAAGAGCATGAAAATATATTCTTGAGTCCAGAGTCAATACAACTCATTTTCTTATGAGTACTTGCAGGAAGGATTTTTATAAACTTGTTTATTTGGAGACAGATCTAAACCTTTAATATCTCATCTGCAAATACTTTACAGTTCTGTTCAGCAGTTTCTTTGATTTTTGTTCCCCTTACATAACCCTGTGAGTTTAGGACCAGTTGAAATAACTATGACCGTTTTATGGTAGGTTTGGAGAGATTCTATCACTTGTTCCAGCTGTTGATGTTATACCAGCGAGGGGGCTTCAGTGTTCTATTAGATGAACTGGCAAGAAAAATGTGAACTACTTTGCATAGTGAATCTTAATGTAAGATACCACCTGGCAAAGGCCCGCATTTTTCTTTTGTTTTTCTTGAGTCCTGCATGTGCCAAATTACATAATTCTACAACCCACCCAGTTGCTTCAATCTGCTGTGCCCAAGAGAGGGTAACACGAGGTCTCTGGCTTCTCGTACCACTAGCCTTGGAAGGAAAGACAAAGAGCACAGAAACTAAGAGCACAGGAGGAGGAAGCCCTGAACATAAACACCGGCAGCATTAGTTTTGCTCCAGCAGACTCTAGACCAACTAAATGATGATTTTCTGTCTACTTCAAGGTGACTAGAATGGCAAGAATTTGCAGAAATCTATAAATCTATGTACTTTTACTGGTTAGGTTAGTTTTAAAAGACTGATAAAATGAACTGGCAACAAAATTGCCAGTGTGACTTCGTCTGTCATGGAAAAGAGGTTATAAAAAGTAAGAAAAGTCTCATGTGCTTGGCACAATAAGAGCAAACTGGGAAGAGAGTTGATCAAAGTATCCTGAAAATCAACACCAAATCCTCCTCCTCTAACCTACACACACACAGTAAAAAGTGGCCACTAGCTCACCTTCTGTCCACCACAGCTAGGGGCAAAATTACTTTGACGTGATTATCTTCTCATGTAAAGAATAAAATATTTGAAGGTCTTAATTTCTTGACATATCTAATCTCTGATCCTGTAATTTGATTTCTTAATTCCTCTAACATTTGTCAGAACTTTTGAGGAGGCTGTATCAAGTTATTATAGATGCATTATGTAAAAACTAAGCTCAACAAATGCCTGTGGCAGCGTCACCTCATTGAATTCATTTGCTTTCTTTCTCATCGCTCCAGACAGTTGATTATTTCAGACAGTGCTTTTTTTGGTGCATAGCAAGGATGAATATGCAAAGAAGAATGTACCATTTACACATTTATCCATTTCTGATGCCTATTACCATATATATGCTGCTGGTTAATGTCTAGGAAAGGAGAAAAAGGAATGTTTATCTTTTTTATGGCTTCCAAATCCTATTTTATTCTGTACCGGTACTTAAATTCTTTTCAAGGACTTTATATTGAGACTTTGGCTGCCACCAGCATCCTTGCCACTGATGCCTCAGTGCAAGGTCAGTGATCCACATAGCAAGCAGAATTCCTATCCCAGTCTCTTTATTCTGTGCCTCTATGGTGGTGTTTATTTGGATTTAGCAGTACCAGGTAGCTCCTTTCTAATATCCAAGATCAGTGGCAGAGGATGGCTTGGAGTAGAAGATTTCATGATTCACTCAAAGCACTCTTGTAGCTGGAGATATTTTAGAGGTCCTGAGGCACCAGTAAGATGGGAACAGATCAGAATGATGATGTCTGCTAAAAATTCTATTATAAAACACAGTGTAATTTTGCTCCCAAGTTTGGTATCACGATACTGGGGGAAAGAAAGTACTAATAAATAGATAACAAAGGTCAATATTAGTAATGAAATTAATTGGACAACTTCCAAATACTTCAGCTTCTTAATCCCATTAGATCCAGTTGATAGGGAATGATACAAGAAAAGTCAAAACAATTAACTGAATAATTTGGGACACAAGCTCTTGTAATATAAGATTGTTTAACTTTCACCTTCATATTGTAAATGTAGGTGAAGAATTCTGAGTGTTTTCAGCTTGTATCTTTTTTAAAGTACACGAATATAAATCAGTATTGGAACAATTCAAGATTATACTGCATTTCATTGCATAAGAACAAATTTACATAAAATAGAAAAAGAGGACAGTAGGTACCTTTACCTGACATTTGCTATTGGCTTCACAGGTAGCTAATGTTTGTTCAGAGCTATCTTCTTGAAAGGAGAAAGGCCAAATAAATGAGTTCTGAGAACAGCACATGTGTCTCCCTCTACGTCTTCAACCTCGCCAGGGCGGGAGCCCACAACAAAGAGCAGAGCGTACCCTGCAGAGACCACGTTGGAAATGTCCAGCAAGGCAGCCAGGTCATTCTCAAAGCAGTGAAAGAAAAAGCGCTTTTTTCCCGAAATAGCTAGAACTGTACCTCATAGCAATTTTTAGGG